TGAAAACTTGCCATGACAACACAGCTTCGAGCTGGGTTCCTCAAGTATGGTTTAAATTACAGTACTTTACTTGTTACCATTTTGCACAGTTCAAAATCTTTTGCTGGTGTTATCTGACACTGTTGCATTAAAGAATGCTTCAGGGCATTCTTTGCGAGCACGTGACTCCCTAACTGTGCCACGCGCGCTTTAACGCTAATTACGGTAGAAACTCCATCACTCACAGGGGCCCAATAGGGTGGAATGCTGTTATTGCCCAAGAGAAAGATTTTACGGACACGAACAATAAGGAACTGGCCAGGAAAATCCGTTGGATCGATTTTTCACAGAGCTGACCTTCAAGGAGACCTCCGTTGCAACGGCCAATTTTAGATCGTCAGATTCTTTTAAAGAGAGATGCGTACATCGTTTAACAGCAGAATTAGTTCATTTATCCACTTTTAGTTTGTATAACCTTATTATTATATTACAATTTAAAATGAACTGTGTTTATCATGTATATACTTTGTACGACGTTTAATTTAATTGGATTTAATTTACTATGTGCCACCCCCTAAGTTACTAAGCTTTAATTTTTATCGGGCTTAAATCATGGTTGCCTGTCTGTCTGTTTGTCTACTGCACCCTAGATCATCTCAACGAGCTATTTAATGTAAGAGGAAGCTTATAGAATTTAAAATGAACACCAAAATAAAATCGAAAGTGTTTTGGCTAATGTTTATTATTTGTTACATTTTTTTCGTGGCTGGAATAAAAATTCGCGCATGCGCACATATATACTGCTCTTCGTATTCTGCCAGGGGGGAAGCCCCAGCTGACGACCGGGGACCTGTGTGACTAACATGTGTCAGTCTTCAGTACACACTGCATTATGCAATATTTGCATTATTCGATTTGTATTGTCATATTGACGGCGTTGGGAGAAAATAGATTTTCGTATTGGGCTTCGTCGCTACGCGACTCTGCCTAATACGAAAATATAGTTTCTCCCAACTAGCGGCCAATATAATGCGACAATCACATCGCCTTAACATTACATTACATTTAACTTGTAAGGGCAAAACGAAAAAACAAACAAAATTAAATAAATAAATAAATAAATAAATAAAAACTATATAAGGGCAAAAAAAAGGCAATGTCATTTGTAACTAATTAAGAAATAACAAGGTTGATTGATTGATTATGTTCCATCGCTTATTCTTGCTTCGAACCTGTTAACCGGCAGTTATATTTTGTTGGTTGCAGGTTAAGACAACCTGTTTATTCGAATCGAGAAGTTTCATAAACACCAACGTAAAGGCTAACTGCATGCAACCCGACTTAACTTAGGCTAACCGGAGTGCTACTGGTGTTACCCGAAGTGCTACTGAAATAGGTTAATTTAAACTTATAAGTCAGTTTTTGAATCTGCAACCTGCGACCAGTAAAACATACCTGCCCCTTGTTAAACATATTTTAGAGGTCGGATCGCGCGTATTAAAAAAGGATGCAATGATGTCAGCATCGGCGAAAGCATAAAAAAATAAAAAAGTATTAATAAATTTTCGCCTTGTGCTTGGGTGGCCTCGATTTACTTCGACCTTCGACCATAAAACGTAAAAACAGGGCGTAATAGGGAGGCTCATTTCATGCGCAGCAGCTTAAGCGCCCAGTTGCTAACGACAACTTTTTTTCTTATGATCCTTTCATTGTAGCCTAAAAATTGCCTCCCAACAAGGAGAAGAAAATCAAGCATTAAAGCAAAAAACGAGAGAATGTGAGAGTCGGCTTCAGGAGAGTTCCAATTCCATTCTAAAATACTTCGAAGACGAGGAAAGGTAAGCATGTAAAGTGTACCATTATTTTTATGTGTACGATCCTTATTTTAAAGTGCAGTTATTCTTGCCGCTTTATGACGAGCTCTCAAAAGCGCACCACTTAGCAAACTCATGAAATATTGTGGTAATTCCAGCCTTTTATGCGGAAATGCAGTCTTTTTTGTATATCAGTATTTTAAGGGAGGGAGATAATAAAGGAATGTAACGGACAAAATGGAATGTCCTGTGCGTGGCATAATTCTGTCACGGACATTTTAATGAAAATCTTCCTCAAAGCTGGCATACAACGCTCAAAGGAAAAGCAATACTGTCCTCATTTGAAATGAAATTGAGCAGGATAAACTACTCCTGAAAACTAGCGCCAAGCTTTTGCCTGATTTAG